AAAAAAAAAAAAAAAAAAAAAAAAAAAAATAAGCCACTAATTTGAATTAGCTATTATTTAAATACTTATACAAAAACTACAGATAAATAATAATATATGTATACATATATAAATATAATATTTTAAACTTTACTGGAAAATAAATAAGATCAAAGTTAATGAAGGGATTAGGAAAACGATTTTTTATTTCCAATGGAATATCTAAAGAATACATGACTTCTAGAATTATATTAAATTTTTTAGTGAAACTATTTTAAATTATGGAAATTTCAATAAAAAAAAAATGAAATAACAACTGTATGTTTTATATCCAAGCAACTTACATGTTTGTATTGATATTAGAATATAACACTATTAAGTTTTGAATTATGAACTATACTTTAATTAATACTCTGTTACACTGTACTATTAGAAACATAATTATAAGTAATAGAAAAGGTGACCTTTGATACAAACAATAATAATCAAAACATAATAAATAAGATATCTGATTTAAACAATATTTACAAAATATAAAACCTGTCAAGACAACTAAGTGTTAATTTTAAATTTTAATGAGGTCAAATTCTAATTTGATAATATTATTGACATTTTTAAACCATTAGTTTTGATTTAAAAAAACAGATTTGAAGCCATTTGAACTAGAATGAAAATATGATATCTTACATTCATAAGATTAATTATTTATTGAACTGAAAATAACATTTTCTTTATATTATTTAATGAATTTTAAAAAGAAGTTGTATTTTTCTATTTTTTTAACATAAATATAAATTTTAATTCCTATAATAATTAAATTTCTGGATAATATTAAAGTTTTAATACTATTTTTAAAGACATCAAACAGAACTATACAAAAAATTATTATCAAAGTTACTGAATCTTATAATTATTTGTTTTTAATAATAAATATATATTTATTAAATGGCAAGTTTTGGGTAATTTTTCTTACAAAATTGTTTAATGGATTGATAACAATTTTAGTATTTTAATACATTAATGTATTTTAATACATCAAGTGGGTAAGTAGGGTGGGTGTTTACATCTCATATTGATGTATATTTATAACATACACTGTACCTACTCTATATATTAAAATGTTTATAACTCAATAATAACTTGATCTAAAATTATTATTGACCCATTAAACATTTTTGCAAGAAAAATGCAAAAAATAGCTATTTTGAAACGTAGCAAAGATTAAAAAAAAAAAAAGTTTTTTTACTAATTATATTATCAAAAAGAAATAATACAACTATAATTGTAAAATACTCTAAGATTGCATAAATTATAAAAAAAATGTTGATTGTCTCAAAAGTTATAAAAATTGTCTGTTAATCCTGTACATATTATTAGATAGAGAAAACAAAGATGCATTATATGAGCTATCTGGTAACTTCAGTAAGACAGTTTTATAGCGATGTATTACATTTTGTAATATAAGATATAAACAATTTTTCATGTCTGCATTTTGTGATTTTTAAAAATTGAGTTCTAACGATACTATAAGGAAGTAAATGCCAACAAAATAAAATATTAATTATTTTATACAGTATCTTTATTTTTTTTTTATTATAAATATTGTATCATATTAATTGTTTTATATATAATGCTGATATGGTGATAATTTTTTTATCTTTGACTATAAAGTCACACTTGTACTATTAGAGGTAGTACATGTAAAGGTAGTACTTGAACTTGAACATAGTCCAAAAATAAAATATGACTTTGAAAACAATAAAAATAATTGAACCTTGGATATAAAAAAAAAATTAATCAGTATATGTATGGAAATAATAATATAAATTGAAAATTCATGTATAGAACCAACTATTATACATACTTGGTTTAATACAATACAGAAATTATTAAAAAAAAAATTAATAAATAAGGCTAAAACTATATACTTTAACATAGGTTTTTTTTATAAAATTAAGAGAAGTTTACAGACTAATAAATTATTTTATAGGAGTATGTGTTTAGCGCTGATAATAATAACCCAGCCAAAATATGTATCAGGGATTTTTTAGTAATTTTTATAGCTTTTTAATTTAATTACCTTTTAGTTTTATATAAATATTTTTTATTTTTAATCATATTAGTCAAAAGTGATTAATTTTTATTCTATATATATTATAATATGAATAACTATTATGGTATGATTCTTAAAAATAATTATAGAAAAAATGATTTTGTTTAGTTTTATTAATTTCTTGATTTATAATAAGTGGTTTAACATTTGTATGCCTATCTCAAATAAGGATTCCAAGTTTTTTTTTATGATAACACATATTTTAATAGATAAAATGTTAGAAAATCTAATTAAGAAAATGCCTGGTCAATAACAAATTTCGTACCAGTATTTAGGAAATTATTAACATATTTAAATGTAGGCTGGAGGTGACATAAGGGTTTTATTATTTTAATCACTATACATTACTTTGCTACAATCCTCCTACCCAGGTGAAAAATAGTTAAATTCTAAAATATTGGTTCAAAAGTTGTTTATGACTTCTTATAATCATAGTTGAATAATTTTTTAACATTTAATATATTAAAATATGTTACCACTTAAAACAGTCTGTTACCCTTAAAAAGTATGAGGTAGGCATCAAATATAATAACACTTATAAATCAAGAAATACCTTAACAAACTAGAAAAGAAACTATGAAAGTTATTATTTTTATAGAACTTTATTGATCATCGATTAATCAATCATTCTGTACATTTTATGGTGCCATTAGATACCAATAAAGAATAATTTTTTTTTAAAATAACAGTAAAATATTAACTGAAAATAAAATACTATAATATATCTTCTTTGTAATAGTAATAATCATACTTTAAAAGAGACTTTAAGAATGTAATTTTATAATAATTTATGAAAAAAATAAAAATTATAAATACTTACAAGATTGATGGATAACAAGAAGAAAACTAAAATATGAACAGTTCAAAAGAAAGTGGATTCTGAAGAAGAGCTCAGTTCGGTTTTACAATTTAGCAAGAAATCAATGTCGTCTGGGATCAGCAATTGGATGACGGGTAGGTCATTTCAAGGAAAAGTCAATAACAGTGCTACCATTTAACCAAAAAAAAATAACAGATTGAACTAATATTCCAAGCAAAAATAGTCTTATAATAGTGCTAAGTTAAAATGCTTAACCTATGTGTATCTACAAAAGGCTATGAATGTGTTAAGGTCATACCATAAAATTTTTGGCTCTGATACCAAACCATATTTATCTAGCCACAGAATATAATCAGATCAAAGGACTAGTCTCAAAAATATTCTAGAGTATTAACATACTTAGGGTGAATCTACCCCTGTTTGTGGAATAGCCTAATTATAAGGAATCTGAAATAATTAATGTTCAATATTTCTGTAATTTTATTTTTTCAAAATGATGTGTGATGATGTGTTTAGAAATTGGTTATGGGGGAGAAGAATCTAGATATTTTTCAAACTTAAAAAGAGTGATCAGTAAGTTTGGAAAAGAGTTTCTTTTGTTCGTATTGTATGTAATAATTAAAACTTTTTTCTTTACTTACTGAACATTCTAAATACATAACAGAGTTACATTTGCACTCAAAAGAAAGACTCTTCATTAACAGGGAAACAACATTAAAATTTATAATCAGTTTTTAATAATTGATAACCATTTTTCCGGTAAAATAAAATTTATAAAGCTATCCAAAACATTTATTTTTTTTAGTTACCATGCATTTTTCAGTGACACAAGAAAAAATTTCTTAATACAGAATAATAAATTTAATAATAAAGAATTATTAGTTATTTATTTATGCCTAAATACATTGTACATTGATAATAAATAATGAAGATTTATTATTATAATTAATTGCCCTAATTGAACATATTGTTTTTAATTCAAGTGCCTATGTATAAAAATAAACACACTTCAAAGTTGGTATGACTGTAGGTGATTTAGATACATGTGCATTGATTAGGATTTTTTTTATCAATTGTATGGGTTTTGTTATTCGGCGTTTCAATAATAACATCTTACCCTAATGCTTAATATTTGCTGAATATTCATAATCACAAAAAGCAATGTTGATTGTATTATAATTTTTTTTTAAATCATCAAATAAATTATTTATTATTTTTAGATTTTAACCTTTCTATTATAATTATTTATTAAATTCAGTATATTTTTAAGTGTTCAAAATAAGCATATCTTGTTATTCACATTTATAACAGATGGTTTGTAATTATTATTTACGTTAAGATTTTTAACTACCGATAACCACTAAAAATATTTTGCTTCAAAATGAGGACAGCTCTTATGGTTGCTGAAAAGCCATCTCTGGCTTCTTCCTTGGCTAATATCTTAAGTAACGGCCGAAGTAGTTCAAGGAAAAGTAAGGAACATTTAAATTTGTGTTCAAAATTTATTCATTTTCTCAATTTTATATTATCTTACAATAGTAATCTATCTAGAAGTTAAAAGAAATAGAACAAAAATCTACTTTAAAAAACAATTGTTATATTTATTAACAATTTAATAAGTTAATGAGTTTTATTATAATTCGATAGGAATTGCGCACAATAGACCTACAGGTTTGAGTACATGGGCAGTTCTTGCTCACGTCTGTAATAACTAAATCTGAGTTAAAGAGTTATTTTATATTATTTTTACTAAAAAGTTAAAATTATTTATTAATCATTTTTTAGTTGTGGGAATTTTTCATTTAATACTCAATATAGTTACAAAAACAATTAATTCATGCTTATTCTAAATTATTTTTATAGGTATGAACTCAGCTTGTCCCGTACATGAATGGTCTGGTATATTTTTTGGTGAACCAATCATTTTTAAGATGACTTCAGTTTGTGGTCATGTTATGACCTTAGATTTCAATAGCAAGTTTAATAATTGGGATAAAGTTGATCCAGTTAGTCTTTATTAATTAACTTAATTTAAATAATCGCTATGATAATTTTTCCTGTATTTATAAAAATAGGAAGAACTTTTTTCTTGTCCTACTGAAAAAAAAGAAGCATCACCTAAATTACGTATACCAGCAATGTTGGCCACTGAAGCAAGAGGTGTAGATTATTTAGTACTATGGCTTGATTGTGACAAAGAAGGAGAAAACATATGTTTTGAAGTCATTGATGCTGTAAAGAATTCTATGAAACGCTCGAATGATATTACTGTAAGTCAAAAAACATTTTATAGTAATATTTCATAGTTAAGATTAGAACCATAGTAAAAATTGTAAACTAATATTATTTTTGCCAATTTATTGAATTTGTAGCCATTTGATATTTAGTAATTTATGTGCATATAATCCATAAATTGAATAAATTAAGTGTGATTTTTTAATTTCAAAGTATACAAAGTAACTTATATTTATATTTAACATTTATAGAGAATTTGGAGAGCGAAATTCTCAGCTATTACTCCTAAAGACATTAAAGCAGCAATGGATAGATTACATTTTCCAAATAAAAATGAAGCTATGAGTGTTGATGCTAGACAAGAATTAGATCTTCGAATTGGTTGTTCGTTTACTCGATTTCAAACTAAATATTTTCAGGTAAAATAATTTATAATAAAATAATATAATAATAAACAGAGATAACATTCAATTTGTATATGTGTATTTTATTTTAGGGAAAATATGGAGATTTAGATTCATCTTTAATTTCATATGGTCCTTGTCAAACTCCTACTTTAGGATTTTGTGTTCAGAGGCATGATGAAATTCGTAGATTTAAACCTGAGCCTTATTGGGTCATTCAAGTAAATTATTTAAAAAAACCTTTAATTATTAATTGTTCAGTTATTAATTTTTGAAATTATGTTATGTAGATAACAATACAATCCAAAGAAGGGCAAGATGTTGTTCTTAATTGGGAAAAGGGAAGATGTTTTGAGCGAGATACATCTAATAATTTACTTCAAGCATTAAAAAAACAACAAGTGGCCACGTAAATATTGGTTATGTTCAGTATATTTTATCTAATCTTATTTAAATTATTATATGTTTTAGTGTTGTTTCTGTAACACAGCAAGAAAAGACAAAACAACGTCCTTTAGCTCTGAATTCTGTTGAACTAATGCGAGCAGCTAGTACTGGATTGGGAATGGGTCCCCATCATGCAATGCAAATAGCTGAACGACTTTATACTCAAGGTTACATTAGTTATCCAAGAACTGAAACTACTCATTATTCTGATAATTTTGATTTACAGTAAGTTGCAATCAAATTTTATTATTATTTTTAACAGATTGATTTTTATATTAAAATTTGAATTCTATTACATTAGTCAATTTTTATTTATAATTAATATTAATTTTTGAATATTTTTATTTTAGTGGTGCTGTAAGAACTCTTCAAAAAAGTTCAGAATGGGGCTCAGAAATAAGACAAGTGTTGAGCAGTGGTTTAACACGACCAAGAAATGGTAAAGACTGTGGTGACCATCCACCAATTACTCCTACAATGTTGGCATCACGGAATGAACTTGATGGAGATTCTTGGAAGTTATATGATTTTATTGCTCGCCATTTTGTGGCAACAATATCAAAAGATTGTAGATTTTATTCCAAAACTGTTACATTTAAAATTGGGACAGAAACATTTACATATAATTGGCGTACTTTAATTGATGCTGGATTTACAGCAATTACGCCTTGGAAAGCTATACCTAAAAATGAATTAGCTGTGAATTTTGAATGTGATGAAAAATTGAACATTAAAGATGTAAGTGTATTTAATAGAGATCAAATATTTAAATGAATTTATCTCATTATTTCTAGGCAAGACTTACAGATCACATGACAACTCCACCAGGATATCTTACTGAATCTGAATTAATTTCTATGATGGAAAAACATGGAATAGGAACTGATGCTTCTATTCCAGTTCATATTAACAACATTTCACAAAGAAATTATGTTACTGTAGCTTCTGGGCGAAGACTTGTACCTACAAATCTAGGTATTGTTTTAGTACACGGATATCAAAAGGTATGTTGCAATTAATTTAAATAACTTAATACATTTTACATTTTGTTTAGATAATAATTATATTTAAATACAATATTTCTATATTTTAAGATTGATAAACAATTGGTTGAACCAACCATGCGCTCTACTATTGAAGATCAATTAAATTTAATTGCAAAAGGAGAGGCTAATTATGAACGAGTCCTTAGACAAACAATTGAAGCTTTTCGACAAAAGTATTTATATTTTGTAAAATCCATTGAAGCTATGGATTCTCTATTTGAAGTATCATTTACAACTTTAGCAGCTACAGGAAAAGCCCTTTCGAGGTAATAATTTTCATTATTTAAATTATGACCTTCATTATAATGTTTTTAAACTATATTTGATAGGTGTGGAAAATGTCGTCGTTATATGAAACTAATTTTAGCTAAACCATCTCGCTTACATTGTTCACATTGTGATGAGACCTATAATTTACCTCAAAATGGAAATATAAGAATCTACAAGGTAAGTTAATTTATTATCTATTTAATAATTTTTTTTTATCAATAAGTTTTCAATGACATTGATTATTAGCCTACTTAAAAGTTGCAGATTGTTTTGTTTTTCGCTATTAGTTTATAATTTATTCGAAAAGTAATATGTTTTCCATGAACTGTCCTCATTCAATGCTATTTCAAATAATAGTAGAATTTTGAATATTGTGTGCATTTGTGTATTATGAGCAGTAGATTATGATATGATCGGTTAATATATGAATCTGAACATTGGTTTTTTAATTACCGGATATATCAACATATAATAGAACTTACATAAAGATTATTGATTTGTTTAAGCTAATATTCAGTTCTTGGAAATGTTGAATTAATTCGTTTTGGAAAGAGATTTGATAAAGACATAAGAGCATTGAAAAAGTCACGTATTTTATTGGAGTTTTTTTTTATTGTTATTCCAGAGCTACTTGTATTCCTTTATACAATGCATATGTTTCTGCAGTATATATAGAATATTTGTGTTATATAGTAAATGTGTGACTTATATTATCTTTAATAACAGCAAAATCTACACATATATTTATTTTAGGTTTATGGAATTTCTCCTGCATCATAATATAGGATATTAATAATGAGTAACAATATTATTTTGTTCATCAATATCTAATTTATACGACATTATATCATAATTTGTACAATATTCTATCAAAAATATCAAATTAAGTATTCACATAATAGAAATTGTTGTATTCATTTGACTAAATTTATTAAAAAAAAAAAACATAATAACCTTGTTTACAGATAACTTAAAGATATATGTTGAATACATGTATAATACTTAATAATATTTCTCTGATACACATGCATAAAACATTATCAGTAATGTAGCACAAAAAACACAATACGTTAATAAGTTGCTATTGCTTTGATCCTTCAAATAAAATGCATTTCTTAAAATAATAACTTTGATATAACTAAATTTAAACAATATCAATGTTGAAAATTTGTCTCAATATCAATATTGATGCTCATATCTTTAGTGTAAACTATATATTATGTATTCATTGAATACTGACAGTAGGGCTGATTTTAAAAGCAAATACTATCAATCTAATACCTTGATTGTGTATTGAATATAGTGAATAAAGTTAATTTTTCTTTGCAAAGTTTTACACAGTATCTTCATGGTTGATTTTAAATAGAATTAGTGACTTGTAGGTAGTGAGAAGATAATTTGTCAGGGTTTCCCATGTGTTATTACCTAATATTTTAATTCTTTTTTAAGTTTTCTAATTTAAAGTTTACATGGCATTTTGTAGTCAAAAAATATTCTAAGTTTGTGAATCTCATTTTTGTAGGTTAGTTGAGAATTCATAAAGTTTAATGTGGATTGAATATCTTTTATTGTTTTTATCGTTTTATTAAAAGTAATATATTGTGTTTCACTTTTAGTGAAAGTAAAGTCAGTTTCTTTTGACCAGTCTGCTATGGTGTTAAGCATTTGTTGGAGGAAAAGTTTCATAGTTTTAATTTGGGAGTTATTATAATATATGTTAATGTAATTTGCAAAAAGAATACATTTCACTGTTTTAGGTAGTTTTAGGCATACATGATTAATGACTGCTAGAAATATAGTAACACTGAGCACTGTACCTCAAGAAAGTATTTTCTATATTTTTACTGGGTTATAGGTGTTTATCAATTTTTACATTAAATTTGCAGTTGGTTAAAAATTTTGAATACATTTCAGCATTGTTCCCATTTATATCTCAATTTATTATTAGAAATATTTTGTTATAAATTCAATAAATATATATGAAAATAACTTTAAAAATACAAAATGAAGTATGGTTTATAACAATATAATTAATACAATGTGTTAATTATTGATTTTTTTTATATATAGGAATTAAAATGCCCATTGGATGATTTTGAACTTGTTACATGGTCAACTGGTACAAAAGGACGAAGTTACCCATTATGTCCATATTGTTATAATCAACCAGCATTTCGTGATATGAAAAAACATAGTGGTTGTAATCTATGTCTTCATCCTACTTGTCCTCAAGGTTTTTATGTAAATGGTATTGCTAGTTGTCTTCAGTGTGATAATGGTGTATTAGTACTTGATCCATCATCTGGACCTAAATGGAAAGTTGGTTGCAATAGATGTGATGTAATATTTCATTTATTTGAAGATGCCCACAAAATTACTGTTGAAAATAAGGCATGTGATTGTGGAGCACAGTTGTTAAAAATTGAATATAAAGAGGTAATTAGAAAAAAATATAAATATTACTTATTAAATTATAGTTAAAATTATACTATATTTAGGAACGAACCCGTTTGCCTCGGGATTTAATTGAAATGACTGGATGTCTCTTCTGTTGTTCAGAATTTAGTTATTTAGTTGAAAAATTCAGAGCTCAAGCATCTAAACCAGTATTTAATAGTCGTCAAGGTAGAGGACGCGCTAAGCATAAGGGTAAAGGTAAACCAAAGCCTCCCAAGGATAAGATGGCTCAATTGGCTTCCTATTTTGTGTAAATAATAAAACTAATAGATCTTTTGATAACCTATTAAATTTTTGTAAAATATAAATTTATTTCTAAATAAAACATATTTAAATCACTTACAACATATAACTAAGGCCTAAAAAATTAAAATTAATCATAACAAACTATTAATGAATCTCAATTATGTTTTTATTTCAAACAGTAATTATATGAACTAAAAAATAGAATTAACTCTTAAGAGGTCTTTAAAATTCTAATTTAATAAGCTGCTAGAAAAAATAGTTGAAAAAATATTTCAAATGTTCCTAATTTATTTATAAATTATATGTAATTAAATAGCCATTGTCATGACATTTTAATGTTTTGCTAAAGAGGTTACGTATTTTTTTCATATTTATAACAATTTAATTTTTGATAATGTAATAATATTAAAAATAAGAGCATAATTAGAGTGATATTGTGTGTTACTTTTCTTTAAAAACATATTAATTTTATTATTTAAAATAATTTGATTGAAACTGTGTGTGTTACACTTATTAAAAAAACTTATTATTTATTATTTTTCTTTGTTTACTTCTTGCCATTTTATTTATTAGGTATTTGTAGATTTTAAGTTGTGTAATATTCTTTCAACTAATGTATACTTTAAAGTTCTGATACTTAGAAATGATTAACATGCACTCAATAAGTGTTTTCTTGTAACTTTATCTTTATCTAGCTATTTTAATTTTATTTTCTATTTAGTTTTAACACAAAAAATGAATGTGATATATTAGTCTATTTTCAATGCATGTGGTATTCTGTGTAACTAATTAATCTTTAAGTCAATAAATGACAAAATATTATTTCTTTATAATAAAATGAAGCTTGCATAGAATATAATACCTATTTTGTGTAAATGTAACTAATTTTAATATTATTATAAATAGATATCATTGCCAATTTGTATTTTTATTTTAAGAAAAAAAAATTAATTGATATCAAAAAACAAAAACATTACTTTTGTTTATAAAATTTTATGACACTAATAAATTAAAAAACTTGTTTTTATTATAACTGCTTTATCATTTACTCATTTGAATAATAATATACTTTATTGTAAAATTGTAAACAATTTGGAATTCTTTTATAATTTAATTTTCTATGAATGTTTTTAAGATAACATTAGTAAAAAATATAAATATATATATATATATATATATATATATATATATATATATATATTGGTACAAAAGATCTATATACAATTTTATGTAACAATTTTATATGAGAAATATGTGGCCAACCTTAATAAAATGTGATTTTATCATTGAACAATAATGATTTTTTAATTAAATTAATTAAATGCATTAATATTAAAATTGAAATTTTAATGCTTTAATAATAAAATAATTTGAAAAAGGGATATTATTTCAATGAACATAACTATTTTGCCATGTAATTAGTGTAAATTTTAAATACATTTACAGTTTACTCGTGATAACTCAAATTTCATAATGGAAATTAAATTTTAACTTCCAAAAATATATCTATTTTTGACATCTATATTTTTTAATAAGATATAATTCTTTCAATTATTAAGTATGCACTATACATCATTATACATCATATGTCACTATACATCAAATCTAAAATTATTAATTTTACCATTATTATATCAGTTAAATTTATGCTTGGCATAGAAAATATAATTGACACCTCCTACTAAAAAGGTTAAAACTCAATTTTTTTTATTAAAAAAATATGTATTAATATTGTAATACAAGATTCTTATAATGCCAGCTACTACATTCTATGAAAATAATAGTCATGTTAAGAAAACTATTTTTAGTATATTTCAGTTTCAATTATTTCTTGATCTATAAGTTATTGATTCTTCTTTTTATTTTTCTTGTCTTTATCCCAACTATTTGGGGTCGGCCACTCTTATCCTATACTTCCACTCGACACGATCTCCCACATCTACGCTCACATGAACCGTCCTCATATTACATTCAATAACATCTCTTCATATCTTTTTTGGTCTTTCTCTACCTTTTCTTCCCTCAGCATTCAATACTACCATAACTATTCTCACAATTTCCGATTACTTTTTCCTCATAATATGACTATACATCATAGCTGGTATCACTACAGTCTCATTTGAATTCTCTTATTGCATAACAAACTAGATGCTTCTCTCCACTTCAACCACCCGAACTTAAACCTGTGTGTTACTTCCTCATCAACACCAGCGTTCTTTTGCACAACTGATTACTTTTTTAATTCATCCCTTATATTTTAAGAGGGATTACTTAATTGATGACTATCTTAAAAACAAAAAAATATTTAGTTAAGAAAATTAAATAACATATTCGGACCAGTACTTTAGAAGTTATATGACGATTTTTAAATATAAACTAGGGGAGAAGCATAGGTATGGTTATCACTAGACATTTCTCAACCAAAATTATACTATTCAGAGCGGTCGTGATACCACTATTGACAGCAAATCAGAGGTAAATTACTCTCTTGTCTCTGTTGCAAATTCACTCCTATTTAAACCTCTTACGCAACTTAGTTAGGATAACTGTATTCATTAAATATAATACATTTATAAAAAAATAAACAAAATCACTTTTGTATAATTAAAATAATTTATTTATAAAGAACCCTATTATAAATATCTTTTTAAAATAATTTCTACGTCTTTTTTTTTGAATTTCAAAAAACTATTTTTAACAAAAATGTTGATAGGTTCTTAAAAACTTTAGGATAAGTACATAATAAGTTACAAGCGTTTTAATACATAGAGTGGAGTATATTGCGTAGGCAGATACGCCAATGGCGAGCTGTATCACACGCTCTACATATCAACTCTATTTAAATGCTTATAACTCAATAAGTACTAAATTCTTTAGTTGTTATCAACCTATCAATGTTTTTTTAAAATATGACTATTTTAAAATTGTGAAAAAACAAATAATTTTTACAATATTAGAGTTAAAAAAAAAAAATTATTTAATGTATAATTACAAATGAATATAACTCACAAGTTAATAAGATTTTCATAGATTATGACAATCTCAAGCCAAGTTGAATCTTTATAGAATTTTCAATTTCATATTAACTAACATAGAATAAATGTAATGTATTAGATGATGTGGGAGATTGTGTCAAGTGGAAGTTTAGAATAAGGGCGGCCGACCCCAAGCAGTTGGGATTAAGGCGAGGAAAAAGAAGAAGACAGTTTTTTCAAATAAAAAAATGATTACTGCTAAAAAAAATGCATTTTTTCGTTATTACAGATAAACAAATGTTTGCTCCACTAAATCGCCCAAATATTCTTTTGCTAGGATTTTATTTAATAACACATAAAAGTATATATGATATGTATGGCTTAAGCCTTAAAATTAATAACATTTATATCGATGAAGGATTTTTATGGATTTGTAGGCTGTTTCCTGTTTTAAAGATATTAAATTTGTTTGGAAATAATATTTGTTATGATTTTTTACTTTATATTCAATACAGATTTATGTATGAAATTAATTATGTATATTTTAACATAGGCAATAAAATATTGTTTTTATTATTATATTAAAATTTTTAGTTCCATGACGTTAAAGAACTCTAACGCAGACAAATGCTTCATTTAAACACCGAACATAACAAGTTGTATAGTGGTAATTCTAACTGAATAAAAAAATATATCTTTATGGCCCCTTATCGTCCGAAAAAAATAGATATCTTCCATAGAGGTAAATTTAATAATATTGTAAACAAAGTTATAAATAGTTTTAAATTTTTCCATGGGTGTTATCATAATTTTAGAGGTTCAAAAACAAAATTATTGAATTTTAAATTGACCACTCCTTTTGTGCTATGTGATTATTTTATTATTACTGAAATTTGGTTAAACTATTGCATTAATGATAACAAACTCGACTTTAATATTTTAAACGTTTATCGATTTTATTCAATCTTACATTCCAGTAATTGTAGTCAAGGTGAAGAATTGTAGGCAACCTGGTGGAGAACCCAACTGGTATCGTATTTTAATAAACTTTTTCACCTAACGTTAACATCTGATAAATCCACCTTGAACATGATATTTATCGTAAGTAAATTTATGTGCATTCTAATATGTATGTTGAATATAAATATACTATGGTCACCACCTATCATTGTTGATGCATTCGTTTTCATTTAATATAATCATTATCATTTGAATTAAAACTAAAATACCCTCAAAACTTCTTGTTATATATTTCTTTTCATTTACAATTTTTTTAATTTAATTTAGACAATTACGATTACAATGGAACTTTGATTTAACTGTCACTTGTTTATCTGCCATCAAAGTTTAAAACGTATTGAAACCATAATCATATTAGAGTCGTGAATTATGCATTAGACTTATAATTCATATCTTTACTCCGATTGTGGTTAGGATATGTCTAAATTTTGATGATGAATATGCAGGTGACAGTTAATCGAAGTTCCACTGTATGTAATAAAAAAATCGTTTTTATCCTTTCAAGATATTCTTTAAAGACATTAAAAATCAGAAATGATGGAAAAAGAAAATTTTTAAATTAGTTAAGTTGCATTGTAAATAGGGAAGTATCATTATTGAAAAATTACCAATAATTAAATAAAAATATTTCAATAACAGCTCATTCGATTTTTTTCAAATTTAAATTAGAATATAAATATACTAAACAGCAGACTTTAACTTTTTTTATGAAGCTTAATAGCCATATGCAGTGTGATCAATTTTTCTATTGTTATCAATATTTAATTGTCATAAGAATGTAGTTCTGGATTTAACGAAATTTGTTCCAGAGACAGAATCTCAATCTAGTATTCATTTTTGTAATTCCCGAGAAACAAAATTTGACATAGATATTTAAACAATTTGAAATTCACCGAATTATTGCTATTACATAAGTTTAGAATGATTGTTGTTATTAAAATGAGTTTAATTTTTTTATGTTATCTTTAAGCACGTCTTGATTAGGTTCATACGTTTATTTTTTTTCTAAAAAATATATATGTTTTACTATGATAATATACACCAGTAAACATTTACTATAAAAAAATGTATTGTATATAATTCATTGTTAGTCAATAAGGTTTCGAGGAAATATACAATTGTTAGACAATTTACCACATACCAAATATGATTTAAATGAGATTAGGTATTTAATTAAAAATTAAAAGCTCTAGTATTAGGTGACAAAAAAAATTCGGTATGTAAATTCATTTTTTAAATATATTACAATATAAAAGACTTAGTTGAGTAATAGTGTTTTTATTCTAATATGTTATGTTTTTGCTAGTATAATTATTTCGTTGCGAAAATTTTTCGTACATTTCAAAATAAACGTTATTTGATGTTAGCCTAAAAATGTTATTAGTTTAAAACTAGTCACCCAAAAAATTAAGCAGGAATATTATAGTCCGTAACTGATGAACAATACTAGTTGTTAATTGCTCAATTTATTGATATGTTAATTTGTGCAGTATGAATAAATAAAAATATCAAAAAATTTGTACATTTAAGATAATTTGACATCTATGTCAAATTGTTTTAAAATAAAAATGTGTTTTTCGTTCCATTAAATTAAAATAATACATGATTTTTAACGTCTATATGATAAGTATACCTTATCTAATAATCGAATAATTAATTATATGTGTAATTTAGCAACAGTTACTTTTTAAACAAACTGTTGTTTTTAATAAAAAACATGAATACATTTTGCATTACCTACGTGTTATTGTTATGAAAAAAACTGAAGTAATTGATTCGATAATCCTACTTTAGTAGATTAATCAACAAACATATTTTTAATTTTGTACATTGTATAATACTATAATTATAATTGGTACGTTTGAATTTAACTAATGACGTATAATTAAAATACACGCCTCTAATCCTAGAGAATGGGAACTTAAAATAGTTTTATATACTTATCAGAAGAACTCGTTAAAAGTTTTAAAATGTACAGCAATTATGAAGTAATTCTAATTTATTAACTTTTTGAAGTGTATTAATCTTGGAATTATGC